CATCTCTTAACCTCGTGATCCACCCGCCTCGGCCTCCCAAAGTGCTGGGATTACAGGCTTGAGCCACCGCGTCCAGCCTTTTCTTTTTTTTTGAGACGGAGTCTTGCTCTGTCACCCAGGCTAGAGTGCAATGGCGTGATCTTGGCTCACTGCAACCTCCATCTCCCGGGTTCAAGCAACTCTCCTGCCTCAGCCTCCTGAGTAGCTGGGACTATTGGCGCCCACTGCTGCACCTGGCTAATTGTTTGTATTTTTAGTAGAGATGGGGTTTCACCATGTTAGCCAGGATGGTCTCGATCTCCTGATCTTCTGATCCACCCGCCTCACTCTCCCAAAGTGCTGGGATTACAGATATGAGCCACCGTGCTGGCCGGATTCTTTTGAATTCCAAATGAGCTCCACATTGATCATCAAAGACAAACCGCAACACAGTCAGAAAGTGACCCTAGGGCAGAATAGTCCCCAGCACCTGTCACAAGAGAAACAGTAGGCCAGGCATAGTGGCCTGAGCATTTTGGGAGGCTGAGGCTGGAGAACTGCTGAAGCCAGGGATTCGAGACGAGCCTGGGCAACAAAGTGAGACTCCATCTCAAAAGAAAAAAATTACCCAGATGTAGTGGCATGCACCCATAATCCCAACTACTCAGGAGACTGAGGCAGGAGGATCACTTGAGCCCAGGAGTTAGAGGCTGCAGTGAGCCATGATTGTGGCTTTGTGTGACTCCAGCCTGGGTGACAAAGCAAGACCCTTTCCACCCCCACCCCACAAAGAGAAACAGTAAAGGAACTGGACAGGTTAATCCTAAAGAAAAGAAGATTCAGAGGCACTTTATCCCTTCTTTAGGTGGTCAGAAAACTGCCAAAGGGAGACACCCTGGCATTCAGAAACAGGAGTGGGCACAGAGGACAGAGGTTTACACCCCTCAGAGCAAAGACATTCTAATAAAGGAGTCTGAACATACATTGTGGGTGTGGATCCCCATCATGGGAGATGAGTCGCAGAAGGCTGGGCCATGTGACCTTAATGACAGAAAGTGCCTGCACCCCAAGGGCCTGGGAACAGACCAACCAAATTAATGTTAATTAATCTGTGCTGGCTCATTGGTGAGGATGCCTGTTGAAAAATCCCAAGTGTCTGACCTAATACTTAAATACAGATCTCTGTCTTTGAAACACACACACACACACACACACACACACACACGCATGCACGCACGCGTGCGCACATGCACACCCCAAGCAGCCCTTGGAAAAAGGCAGCAAGGGAGAAGTACCAACCCTCTCAATTAAAAAACTAGTTCCACCAGCCAGGTGCAGTGGCTCATGCCTGTAATCCCAGCAAGTTGGGAGGCTGAGATGGGAGGATCCCCTGAGGTCAGGAGTTCGAGACCAGCCTGGGCAACGTGGTGAAACCCCATCTCTACTAAAAATACAAAAAAAAAATTAGCTGGGCGTGATGGCAAGTGCCTGTAATCCCTCAGCTACTTGGGAGGCTAAGGCAGGAGAATCGCTTGAACCGGGGAGGTGAAGGTTGTGGTGAGCCAAGGTTGCACCAGTGCACTCCAGTATGGGTGACGGAGTGAGAATCACTTGAACCGGGGAGGTGAAGGTTGTGGTGAGCCAAGATTGCACCAGTGCACTCCAGTATGGGTGACGGAGTGAGACTCTGCCTAAAATAAATAAATAAAAATCATAGAGTAAGTGGCCCTTTGTAACTGGCTTCTTTCACTTAGAATAATGTCTTCAAGGTCCACCCACATTGCAGCATCCATCAGCCTCATTCCTCTTCATCACTGAGTAACATTTCATTGTATGGATATACCACATTTTGTTTATCCATTCACTGGGTGGATACCTGAACTGTTTCCTCTTTGGGTCTATTATAAATACTGTTGCCGGCCAGGCACGGTGGCTCATGCCTATAATCACAGCACATCGGAAGGTTGAGGTGGGAGGACAGATTGAGGCCAGGAGTTTGAGACCAGCCAGGGCCATACAGTGAAACCCCATCTCTGCAAAAAATTTTTAAAAAATTGTGAGGCATGGTGGTGCACACCTGTAGTCCCAGGTACTCAGGAGGCTGGACTCACGTGAGTCCAGAAATTGCGAGGCTGCAGTGAGATATGATCTTGACTCTGCACTCCAGCCTGGGTGGCAGAGCAAGACTCTATCTTTAAAAAATAAATACATAAG